GAAGGTATAGATGAAGTTCTCTCTCTCTCTCTAGAGTCTCTTGGCTTTTGCTTCCGTGCTTCCGAAGTATGCGCTGGTCCGGCCCTATCCCCCTAAGCCAGGATACATTCGGGAGGGCGCACCAGCATTACCAACCAACGACCACTCCTTCACCGTGGGGTAAGTGATCATTGGACCCAAGAATCATGTGCCCTGAGCAAGCGCACTGAGCCAAGAATGACAGCCGTCTGCATCTGTCCGGCTAAGATTTCTGCCTTAGTGCGGCAAGCTAGTATGATTTTAAGATTCGAGTGTAGAGAGGGCATCATTCCACCATGGACTCCAATAATCTGAGCAACCATTTTGACAGAGTGGTCTGGATAGAGTCTGCGGAGTTTGAAGAGAAAATCTTGATATTATATCCGTTTTTCCTCCTCTTTTCGGAGGATATTCATTTTGCTAGGAGCTGAAAACTTCATGACTAATATTGTCTTGATCTGATGGTCGAGAAGGACTACATCATACTTATTAGCTTGTATGAGCCTGAGGGTGGTGAACGAATAGTTCCAATAAATTCGGCACTTTTCGTTCCCCACAACGGATTCAATATCCCCCGGAGCGTAGGGCAACACCGGTGTTTCGTCAATACCGTAAGAGTGCCGTAGATGGTAACATAGCACTCTCAGGGCCGCGTTATGTCGATGGATATAGGCCGAGACCGCATATGCTGGACATGCTGGTAGCAAGTGCATGTTTATATATATTTTCAAAGAATGAACATTATTATTATTTTTGTTATTGTTAAATACCTCGAAGTCGCTCCGCAGGTGAGCTGTCCGATTATTTCAGGTGAAAACCATCTGTGAGGTAATTTGTTTAAATATACGTCGGATGTAATTCAGTGGCCATTGTGGTATCAGCTGGGAAAGTAGTTGTTTTCCGACAAGCATTTGCTGAATCTTACACTGTAGGTACATAATTTTCAATTGATATTAACTTTAACAAGGGCGATGTGCAGATACAAATGCATTGTGTTTGGGGTCGGTTTATTTCAACTATAGCAACTACGGTTGATTTGCAGTAAAAGCTACAGTAAAAGATAGGGGACAAATATCGTCGGCGTCGATGTCAAGGCTTAGCTTTGCAACTGACCGCCTTGCAGAGCATAGTTTATCGTTGATATTCGAGGATTGAGTTTTCTGTCGATCCCATAGATGGCGTCTGCGTAAGAGAAGACGTCGTCACCCTTGTTTACTCAGAGTTTTTCCTTAAAGACAATTGAGTCCAGCAATGCATTTATGGTTCAGCCTAGCACCACTGATGATACCTTTGGTGGGTTAAAAGAGTGCTGTGTGGTATTGGATCACAAATGCGTTGTGTTTGGGATCAGTTCATTTTAACTGATGATGACTTATTTATATCGATATGATTAACGTTATATACATTTTCATGATTTTAAATGTTATGATGATTTCAGGTTACAGATACTACTGTAAATGTGGTAGGAACTATGTATCTGCAGATAACCTCAAAAGGCATCGAAAACAATGTGGTCACGAGAAGAAATATCACTGCAGTCAGTGTGTTTACAAAAGTCATAGGTTAGATAGTCTAAGAAGGCATATATTTACCAGGCACAAAAAAGATCACAAATTCTGAGTGGCACCATGATGTTTAATAATTTTTTAATATCGCACACAAAATTAATTTGTGCGAGTATATTGAATGCAATTTATATTTTATTATGAGTGATGTTTATTAAAACAATTTGAAAAAATACCAAATATTTTTTTATCAGGTATGTTTTTGAAAACCTTCGAAATGTCAATAGTTTCGGCCCTACGGGCAACTCTATAAATAAATCAGCGAGATATGCTAGACTGGAGCTGAAGATGGCGATTTCAAACACATAAGTCAATCATTGAAGCCCTATATACAGGGTGTATCATAAGTAAGTTAAAATATTGAAATGACGTATTCCTGAGACAATTTTAAAAAAATGCCCTATAGATGTTACATGGAAATTTCGTGCACACTGTATAGTATAGTAATAGTAATGGAAACGATAGCTATATACCAGAAATCATAGGAAATCAGTATGGTTTGTGTATATCCACCGCGAAAAAAACAATCCGACCTCGAATTAGTTTGAGTTAGAAAGACAAGGTATGGCTGCTTCCTAGAAAATCTCGAGAATAAAAGAAACACAAATTACAAGGTTATCATTTTCTCTTCGGATTTTAGATGTATACGTTTTTACATCTGTAGGTTGATTGATTTTTGGGGATTGTAGCTATTTCTGTTTTATATAAGGAAGGAACATGTAGGTATAATGAAGTTTTTGAAATAGAATGATTTGACTGAATTTTTGTCTCAGTTTAAACAAAAATGTTCTGGGATAAAAATTTTCTACATGATAATAATACTCCGAGTAAAATTGCAAGATTTCGACGTGTATTATGAAACTATTGGAGTATAAGGGGTAAAATAATAAAAAATATTCTTCTAACGAATTCAGTGTACCTGACATCATTTCGAATAGTTCAAGTCAGTGATATTTCAAATTGTATACAAATCATGATTCTTCTTCTGAAGACAATTCAAGTTATATAAACCTGTCTGTTTAAAATCTGTTTTCCGTTAATCAGCTGTCGCCCCCATACGAACGACAACTCTCAGAAGTTGAGAAACATGTGCGAGCTAAAGACTAACGAGGTCTTACCTTTTAACGTGTGATTCCTAACACGGTTGCAGAAATCATTCCAGCTTCAACCAGATAAATTCTCTCGAGAACAATATCTGGTCGAGGCGGAAATCGAACCCACGGCCTTCCGATCGTGAGTCGGGCGCACTACCATCGCGGCCAATTCCATAAGAAGAAAGTGTTATTTGAAAATGTGACGTTTTTAGAATATTTTTTCGAACGACTCATCACCTTGCGTGATCAAAGAATGATGAATTTCAATTTTTTGCAATTTATTGCAGTGGTTTATCGTTTGAAAGCTTTGTTGAATTATTGAAAAGTAATTTGCAAAGCTTGAAATATTTTTCACCAATTGATATGTTGGAGTAGATATCATTTTTTTCCCAAGTTCAAAATTTTCGTTTGGAAAAGTAATTGATTTTAAGTTATATTTGTGTTGATTTCTTCACTTGATTTCGAAAAGACAATACATTATCCTGTCACGAAGTCAATATTTCCTCTTCCAGGGAATAAACAAAGTAATTAAGTTTTTGTCATATATTTTTCGTTCCACAACAACGAAGAGCACACATAAACTAATGAATTTATTCTTCACCTTGAGGGGAGAGTGTTCTTACCGACTTTTTCCAACTTTCTAACCAGTATTAGTTGCTACAGTCAACAACAAAAATAAGTTAACTTGGCTTCGAACATTTCTTTAAATTATACAAACTATAAAAGTCACCGAAATTTATGATAATCGAATTTTCAAAAGAAAAATTTACTCATCATGAAAAACTTTCTCAGGCAATCCAGCACTGCATTCGTGGTTCAGCCTGGCACCACTAATAAAACCTTGGTGGTCCAACAGGCTAGTCTGTCCTTGATGCAGAAAAAAGTTTTCAAATACCAGAAAACCGATAAGGCCAGTGCTGGATGGTATCGTTTAATTTTATTAATGTGCCATATTTTGAGAATTGATGATTTTACAGTATCCTGTGGATCTTGAATTGTGATATTTGTTCATCTTCATCAGAATCAATGGAAGCTAGTACGAAATTCTGGACCAAGTCGAAAAACATCAGAAGGCCAACAAAAATGGTTAGTGATTATTCACATCAAAATGCTGAAATGATGAAAAACATTAAGGTTAGGCCACCAAACAATTTCAATTACTTTTGATATCCTACTCAAATTGAACCATATTTTTATGTTCAAAAATAATTGTGACTGAAGTTTGCAGAAATGTTTCTACAGAAATTCACAAGGTTTATTTGAGATTATGATAATGATAATGACTAAACCCCAATTATACTGAGACGCCACAGAAGAATATGTAAATCAAATAAATCTCTAAAACAATAAACAGATACAAGGTACCGAAATGACAAACGAATTGAGTCATTTTACTGATATATTTAACCTCCGGAAAATGAGAAGACAATCCTTCATATAAAACTCCACCTTGATTTCCAACAATTTATATATGATATAGAGAAATATCAATATGTCATAAGACATTTTCAATTCGAATAGAAACACTATTCTGAATGGTAGCGATTTCTTCTGAAAAAAAATATTTTCATTGAAAAATCCATAAAATGTTGAGGTTTTATAGTATTATTTTCGAAAAATGTCCCGTCAATACATTTAAATAAGGGAAATGAAGTTTATGGCTTTCTACTACTCCATCTTTATACAGAAAAATGTGGGAATCTTCCAAAGAAAGGAAGGAAGTAATCAATTTTAAAATATAACCCTTTCAATATAAACTTATTAAAATTTAACTAAAAGGTGAAAAATATGCTGTACCGAAAATGGTGTTATTGTGATACATACATATATTGTTTAAAATAAAGGTACTTCTTGATAAAATTATATTTTCTCCAATGGAAAATTGATCTGTTATATGCATTGAAATGGAAATATTTGTTAGTATATTATCACGTGTTACGTGTAAATAACCAAAAACAATACACAGTCACGGTTCTCAAAACATACTCCTTTCGAAAATTCATCATGTTGTTCGATATGAAATTGAAAAGAAGAGACTTTCCTTTCAAATAATTGAGTATCTACTGCACTGGATAGTTTTTCTTACAACGAATTGGAAATCAATGGCCTTGGATCGTTAGTTCGAGGTCAAACATTAGTGAAGGAACTCCTCATGCTTCTCATATTTTGAATTTGTAGTTTTTCATATAGATTTTGTTGTGTGGTGATATCTGTTATCGTCTTTGGGAGAAATGATTTATATTTCCAAGAAAACACTAGAATGAAGCTTTTCTTTCGGCAACCGTGATACCACTATCAGTTTAGTAAGATATTCAGTGTATGTTGATTCAACTCAGATTTTGCTTTATTTCTATTCTCTTCTGAAACGTAGTGAATGAATATTTTTTTCAAGTTGAGCACTCTACATTATAATAAATTTCAAGATGATGTTGAACTGTTGATGAGGTTAGGTTTAGTCAATGTTGAATTAAATTAATGGACATATTGCTTCCAGGACTACGTTCACCAAATCTTTGGCAACTTTTTTATGTTTGTCATTACTTCTTTGATCATTAAAAAACTTTGATTTCTTTCAAAAGCAAATCATTGCCTTTGAAAGAGCATGTTTATAGTGATCGATTGGAATATTCAAATCATGTACTGATAAAAAAATCAGCACTGGGTGAGTATTTAGCTCTATTGTAAATATTTTGTGAAAGAGAAAAGTGCAATTTTTTATGAATTTCAAACAAGCTTCAAGGGTGAACATTTAATTATTCATTTCTGAAATATGTAGGAACTGTTGTATAGTATATTTTATTGTATCTGTATGTTGTATAAGAAGTCCCAATTTTGATTCATATAATAAAGATGAAGATACTTTATCGATTGAAAACATAAATTTTCGGAGATTTTTGTGTTCATCATGAGTTACTATGAATTTTATTATTTTAAATGGCAAATCTACTTTTTTATTCTTTAAATTACTTTTTCAATATGTTATAATACATCTTGGAAGATAAAAACAATTTTCAGTTCCCAATAAATAGTGAAGAGTCCAATTAGTCTTGTCGTTTCAACCAATTTCACCTACAAATTAAATAATGGATGGAAAAATGAAATCTGCGTAGGTAGGTACTTGGCTTTATCTATATAGTTTACTTTTTGTATAGTATTTCTTTTCTTTTTGTTCTTCCTCGATACCAAAAAAAAATCACTCATAAAAACACCTCAAATTTGATATCTGAATATTTCGTTTCGCTGACGTTTGTCAAAAGAAATATAACTGTTTGTGTTTTAGGCGTTTTCAGAAGTGAATTTTTTAATCTTGAGAAAGGAAAGGGATTACTTTCATGTTTCGCATTGATTATTCAATTTGTTGGTATTTATGGATACGACTAATTGGAAACTTTTCGTGATGTACAGTCCGCGGTAATTTCTTGGGGTGAACTTTTCAGTTTGCTTTTTATCACTCTTTACTAGATTCTCTATTGGTTAGCTTCGTCTGTTTGTTATTCGAAAGACATATTAAATACTTTGAAAAGGAAAACACACAAATAATAAACAATTCAGAAATTTATAGATTGATTTCGTTGAATGATTTCATCATTTCTAGCCACCTTTCTGAGTTTTTGGTACTCCTACCTTCTCAGGTTCGATTTCCACAGGCTCCCATAAATCTTCAATATTATAGTTAACTGTAGCCCATAGTTTTTATAGTGTTATGAAACATTAAGAAAATGGTAATAAATAATTTTCTTTTTCCTTTTACTACTTTTTCGTATTAATTATGGAAACGATGTATTTCGGTATGGTAATCCATTTCGTCATTTACTTTATTATGTACGGGTATTGATCTTGAATAAATGAAATGTATAAATATAACCTATTGAGGTTTTTTTATTTTTTTTGACATTGCTCTTTCCATGTAATAGAAATCAATGCATTCATTTGTCATTATTATTATAATGCTGGACTGATTGTCCTGACCACCATTTCCAATGTTGTTATGTGATAGAATTGGCCGATACTTGATGAAAATCTATGACTTATTCAAGTTATATTCAATAGAGTGTTAGTTAAATAATTCAGTATTGTTTCTAAATCATATCTTTTTTAGCGAAATTGGTGAAGTATTTTCAAAACTAATCAGCTATTGCAGAGTAAAGAAACAGCTGAAAAAATAAAAGATGGAATGATATTTCAAGAAATCATTGATGCTGGTTTGGAGTTTTTGAACTCTTTGGAAATTGAAACACAACAAAAATCAAGTTGGAATTGTCTCCTACTGGATATCCATTTCTCAGCGTATTCTTGACGATAAAATGCTTGTTGAATTGATAATTTCAGAATTTCCTTATTTTTTTCATGTTAACAATTTCAACATTCGGGATAACTTTCAAACTGATATTTTTTTACCCACTGAATTTTTTTCTTTAATTAGTCAATACGCAGATTGAATTGTATAATATTGAATATAAACAAATTGTTACTTGATTATCAAATTTATTTTGCAATGATGATCCGTTATGATTTATACATACATATATAATTATTATATACATAAATATCATATATATTATGTATAAGTAATGGCGATACTGCAATTTTTTCATCGAATTGATATGGTATCGCTCAGTTCAATGTCCTTCTTTGCCCTGTATAAACAAACATATTCTCGGGATATGTTTTTGATCAATGATATAACTTTTATCCAAAAGTTTTTTCATATTTCGGCTAATAACGGTTCTGTTGGACTTCCTGTATATTGTAACTGAAGATCTAGAAAATATTTTCTGCAAACTTTATGTTTTCAAGACCCTCATCATCAGTTTATGTTCTGCTTAATGTTTTGACATACCCTTTGTTTTGTTGAATTTTTGTTTGGAACTTTTACACAGAATAAAATACAAATTTTGTGGTGGAAATATGTCGGATATCAAATATGAAATAAAGTTAATGGTAAATTCCTCAAATGTAATTGAGATGACAATTAGAATAATATGAAAACATATCAATTTAATCGAAAGAGTATGACTATGTCAATTTCGTAATTATTTTCAATTATGTTCCGATCAATATTTTTCTTCTTCACAGGATGAAGAACCTTTATGAGATAATATGCGTTATCTTCTAGTGAAAAGGAATTGGAAGAAATTTGCGAGTGAAATAAATGTTTGAGCGTAGGTTAGGTATTTTTATTTGTTTGTTCGGTGACCACTATGTATTTAAACACCTAAGTAACGCATTGATTAGTGTACCCATCGGTCGGTCGGTAGCCGGTCGGTTCGACGTGGGTGCTTTGTTCACTCACTCGAATTAACCGCTGTGTTGGTCGGTGGTTAAAGCCCCAGGCTGAACGGTCGATTTTCACTTGCTATCGTCCAATCCGTGTTAGGAATCACACGTTAAAAGGTAAGACCTCGTTAATCCTTAGCTTGCACAAGTTTCGACTTCTGAGGGTTGTCGTTTGTAGGGGTGCGACAGCTGGTTAACGGAAAAACAGATTTTAAACAGATTTAATAATTTGAAAGTTGATTTGTTGATAAAAACTTCACTTGTTCAATACGTTTCCTTGATTTCTTGTGAAAATTTTAACAACTAGGTTTTTTTTAACTGATTGATACCTATTTTTCTAATTTACCACAATGCTTTTTACATATTTATAACCATTTATTTGAAGATAATGCCATACACACTTATTGCTGAGGTTATTACCTTCCTCTTTCTAGTGAACAAAATTTCAATTTGATATTCTGAACATTATTTAATGACTTCTTTCTAGTATTTGGAACTTGTGAAGTGCAGAAGGATTTTACTCTTCATGACGAAGCTGTTTTTTATAACGAAATAAAATGTCTTGACACTTTTTCAAAGTTCTTGTGCTCTAATGTTCAATGTACGGTATGTTCGGACTAAAATTTTTTATACAATTTTCATTCTTTCACTTTCTGTCTGCAAATGATATTTATTATAGTTTGAATGATCCTAATGATAATATTTTGATTTTCATTTCACCTTGTGGATATTGATTCTCAAGATACTGGCTCTCATGAAATCTTTCTTATGTTCACTGTTTTCACTGGTTGCGTATCACAACTATAAGATAAGGAGGGCCAGTACGAGAAAATCGGAAACATTGAAAGATATGAAATCGGTTAAATTAGGAAAATGTTCACCATTTTAGAGCATATTTGAAAGTTTCAAAATGTAGGTAGTTTTGATTGTGTGTTATGTATCAGTGAAGTGGTTGCCAAAATAGCTAATTTATACGAATGATTTTTTGCGGTCCATATGAAAAAGTTAAATTGAATTTTCGGAGACAACGGACAAAGAATCTGTGAAAGGTATGAATTGAAAAGTGATGAGAAAAAGTCATTTTCGAATATTTCCTGAAGTGATCGGAATTCTCAGAGCTTGAAACAACATCATTAAATAAACCCTAAAACGAGAAATGTTTTTCAATTTGACCGATTTTGCGTCTCTCACGGTTCACACGCTGGCCTTCCTCATACTGAACATGTAAATGAGTTTTCACGGATGATGGAATATGAAACATATCTTTTTCTGGAAAACATTCTTTATTTATCGAAAATTTATGTTTCACCAACGTTTCGGCTGGAATTTTCAAAATAGTCTCAATAATTAATATATGAGTTACAATTACATTTTGTCCTCAATCGAGGATCGCCTGCGCGGTACTGACGATGCCCAACAGGCTGAGTAAAAATGAATGGATTTTATTAACAAAAAAACTGGAATACACCCTATGATATTTACACATTATATATCACCATGATAAACGACATTAAAATCAGAAAAAGTATTTCACATTATTCAATGTCAAAAAGTTGTAATTTTCATATTGAAGACTTCTTTCGAAATTGAATTCTAAAATACTAGCATTAGTATAGTTTATTTGGTGGAAGATCAAAAGTTTTGATCTTTCTCTTGAAGATGATCACTTGGTGATCGAAACACGTGTCGACGTGTTGAAATAACGGTTTGGTGTTGGGAAAAAAGTACAGTAATATTTATTACTACACCAAAGGTTCCAAACAGTGCATCACAATTCCATGTATTTACCGATTATATATCTTGGATTTCATTAATTCGGACTTCCATTGTCTAATATGATATAAATTGATTTGAAATCCCTGAAATAATCTATAACAAATTTAAAAGATTACCTGAAAAATAACAATTATATTTAGCAAAAAAAAAGAAATCACAAAGAAATAAAATACAAGCAATAATAAAAAAATTGAACTATAAACACGAGATGAAAATCAAAAATTTTCAACAAGAAATGAAAATTAAGATTCCAAGCGACGTTTCGATTCTTAGTATCCACAATCGTCTTCGGGTTATCACCGCATGTTTATAGTTCAAGTTTTTCATTGTTGCCTGTATTTTATTTCTTTGTAATGTTAGTGTTTTTGCTCGATATAATTGTTATTTTTCAGCTAATCTATTTAGTTTTTTATAGAATTTTTCAGGGATTTCAAATCAATTTATATCATATTAGACAATGGAAGTTCGAACTAATGAAATGCACCATGAAACATTGTCAACCACCTCCAAACAAACATATATCTTAGATTGATGATGTAGCTCTTGAGTACTTTATTTTGATCTTGGTCACTAGGCATAATCATAAAATATCATACATTTGAATTAAGTTCTGGCTATTCATTGACGCATTCGATTCCATTAAGAACAGTACATATCAGAAATATGCTCATCGTTTTCAGGTTCAACTCAGTACACCTCGAACTTCACTGTTTAAGAACTCTTTCATTTGAAGGACTGCGTTCATGTGGAAATAAACTTCCTGAGAGCGTTCTTCCAAATGGATTTAACCTCCAGCGATTCAAATCCAATGCGAAAAGCTACTTTCGCACAGGCACCGCTCTTAGAGTGCCTTGAGGATTTTTCTGTAGTGCTTGTGTTCGGTCCTTAGAAAGGAAGGAACTTGATCCAGTGGGAAAAAATGTCCGCCAACACGAGAACACCCGGTTTCAGAACACAACACATATATTTTTTTTAAGGACAAAACACAAGCACTACAGGAAAATTCTTAAGTAGCTTTTAAAGCGGTACCTGTGCGAAAGTAATGATTCACATTGGATTTGAATCGCTGGAGATTAAATCCATTTGAAAAAACGTTCACATGTTCATTCCACGTAAACGCCGTTCTCCAAAAGAAAGATTTCCTAAACAGTGAAGTTCGAAGTGTACTGAGTTGAACCTCAAAACGATGAGCAGCCACAGTCCGTCGCTTATTTCTTTTTGGTGGAATCAGATATGCCAAGTCACATAATTATACTCGTAAACAGAATCACAAACATAACATAAGCCAATCGCATTACTGATAATATCTCAGTTAGAAGATCTATGAAACAATTCCTGTTGGTGATTGCTAGCGTACGTGTTGTTTTCTGCAACCAAGAGTCCCCGTTGTTTTTTGAGGTATTATAAGTAAAAAGTTTCTAAAATATATTGCATACCACAAAATGTCGGTGAAAATGAAAGAACGATTATTATAGTGATCCAATCAAGTATTGTTCATGATATTTTATCCATAGCGATGGCGATTTTTTCACTCACTCCATGCAAGAATATAGATTTCATAATTTTTAATATTCAATGCAAGTGCATGTATTGAATTTGAACATATAAAGTGACTCATAACATATGTCTCCTGGGACTGTGTATTTTGTCTTTCGTTATGAATATTTGGTAAAGTATAGAACACAAATCAAGACGATTCATTTTTTCTCAATCTAGGAGACTAGTTTCCGATTTTATTGACAGAAAAGTACTTGAATTCAATGTACATGGTTAGGTACTATTATTTCAATTTGGAAACCACGCACTACATCGTTTTATTTATATTATATATTTTATTGTGTTCCAATTATTGTGCCTTTTTCTTTTACTAGTATATAGGTATGTTTTATCCTTTACATTTATTTAAAAGTTTTACTTTTATTCACATTGTATTTTACGTTGTGTAACTGAAATTGCCACTAACGATAGTTATATCTTGAACACTTATATATCATTTTTTCTATCATTAATGTTATAGGTTTAACTTTATATCTATATATCATATTTGTGTTTTAATGAATTCTTGAGATTGTATTCTTCCTGTTATATGAAGCAAGTGCTTTTGCCCTCATCGTCATTTTTCTTTATTCGACTATTATTATTATTATTATGTTGGGTGAAACCTTTCAAATGAATGAATAAAGTCATTACTATAAATTATTATTATAGTCTTTTTGACGTTTGGGTTTTCTCCAATCAACCATATCTCATGAGGGGTAGTGCTTGTTGAAGGGTGTGTAAATTTTCTGGTATGTTCATCTAGAAATACGTATCATTCACCAAAACATTTCGGAGTGATTTAATTGATATGTTTTGAATGAAACATTCAATTGATTTGTTGATAATTACTTCGATGCCTTTATGTATGAAATATTTTGTGTCCAACTGAAAAAAAAAATCATTTTATCCCCTTTGCTTCACTACAGAAAACGGCAAGGCTTGTTTTATTGAATGATACCTATTTCAAGTGAATCTAAGTGATTGACTCAGTAACTTTTCACATATTTCCTCAGGCTGTAAAATCAAACCTATTCTTAAAAGCAGGAAGAAATGTTTGAGATCCAAAAGGTTCAAAAAGACTCCTGAAATTGATGATAGATCTCCAGAAGCAGCACTAGAAGCAATAAAATCTCAGTTACCTTCTCACGGACAAATTTCTGTCATACCATTGGAAAAACTGCAAAAAAGCCCAGAAACACCTACGGAAATTATTAATGACAATGTTCAAAACATGAATGTTGATATTGGAGAAGGTGCAGAAATGCTCGTGTCAAACGATGAACGTACAGAAAATAAACATTCAGACGTTATTCCAAAGATGATAAACAACATATACAGATGTCGTACTGCAAATTGCAATTATGTCACGAATGAGATGTCTGAAATAATGTTACATTTGTTTAGACACAAAGAAGTAAAGTAACGAATTACATCGCTACTACTACTACAAAATAACAAGTTTTCTGCAAACCGCCATGATTTTTTTGACTTATATTTGCAATTTTAGTGATACTTTCCAATGATGATTAGTTTATATTTTTAATTGACTGAAAAAATTTTGAGATTTTTGAAATTATTACTTTTATATTAAAATTAATTCATTTTATTCTCCTCATTTACTATATATGTTGAATCAACTATAATATTAATAATAACAGTGAGCTTATTCAGCTATAAAGCTACTGAATACAAATATCAAATAACACAATACAAACAGATCATTATAATTGTTTAATAATATACAGTTATATTATGTTCAGGTGAACTGTGTATAAAGTTGATATGATGAAAGGAAACTAGAATGAATATTTTGATTACGTTATCATATCAATGTTATTTTGTACAAAAATTGAACATTTTTTGTTAAGTTTCCCAAAATGTTTACAATTTTTCATTTCTAATGGCAACTCATAATAATTTTGCAAACCTTCATAGAATGATTGATTTTGTTGAAAATTTTTGTTATATCTCTTCATTTGGATATGAGTTGAATTTCTGGTATTATATAGATGGCTGATGTTACTTGGGAATTGCATTTTAACTTGAAGATATTCAGGAAGCATATTATTTATGAATTTATATAAAAATGTGAACGTATTCAGATATATTCTCTGTTTTACAGCCAAAGTTTTAAAGGACTCATGCATCCCCGTTACTTTCGTATTCACTATGTCCAAGATAAGAATGAACAGCATGGATATATCGGAAACGGTAAGTGATACGGGGTCGATTAAATTAGAGAAAAGTCGCGCATTTATGTGTCTAATAATATGCCATTCAGAAAGTTTCAATATTCCGAGTAGTAGTCTGAGAAAAACCGAAATTTGAGAATTTCGTTTCAATTTTCTAACGTTAGCAGAATTTTTCTGCGGCATTTCGTCTTTTAGAAAACATCATCAACTTTGTATTTTTATATGGGCCGTAACTAAAGTATACCCTGTATACGACTCCATTTTTCATTGTGAATTCAGCAACGTATCACACAATATGGTTTCATAACCATTTCTCGCGCAAAATGAAAAGTGATTACTTAACCTGCTTCTCTTCAATTTTAGATAGTACGCGGCCCATATAAAAATACCAGGTTGATGATGTTTCCTAAAAGACGAAACGTCGCAGAAAAATTCTGCTTACGTTATCGTGTAGTCCTTAAAAAGTGGTCCTAGCAAATTGCTATCTGTTTTACATTTCCTTTGAAAATAAAGCTAGGAAAAAAGTAAAACAAAATTCCCAAATTTCGGTTTTTTTTTTCGGATATCTCCAAAACTATTAGGAATATCGAAACTTTCTACATGTCATATTATTAGGCACATATTTTCTCTAATTCAATCGACCCCGTTTCACTTACCGTTTCTAATATCCCCGTGCTGTTCATTCTTATCTTGGACACAGTGTATTTAAAATAACTCTCGAAGCCCTGTTCTGTGATATCTGTGAAATATATATCTGATTTTTATTCGATGAGAATAACATTGTTGAGCAATATTGAAAATGAAGCTCTATGATAGATCTGATTATCTAGAATGTTGTTTCATTTTTCAAGTATTTTCCTATTGTTGATGAAACTCTTATTTTTCGAGCAATTTTTCCTGAAGTATATGTTACATATTCTTCATTGGTTTCAACAGAAAGCATAGTTTACTTGGAATTTGTTAGTATCGTTCTTCAGACATCTTTCAATTGTTATGATTTGGTTGAATATTTGTTTGGTGTAATTATTTGTGGTGTTGTTATGGAACATTTTTATCGTTGAATTGATTTCGTTCAATGGCTGGAATATCACCTATTTTTGGAAAAAAAATCAGCAATCTTTGTTAATATCTCACTTTCGTTAAATTCGCTTATGAAAAACACAAGATATATATTGCAATTTCAAGAGAAAATATAATAAAAATTTGCTGATGAAGTATTAACTAGTTCAAAAAATTTCATTATTTTGAGGGATGCACTTCAAAATTTATCATTTTATCAAATTATATACTACATGCAGATGTGATTCAGTTAGAAACCTTCACATTTCATGAAGTTTTTCAAAGAAATTAAACTCTTTCTATTTGATTTATTTCTGGATCTGGATTAAATTGTTTTTGTTTGCGGTTAATGTGTAGCTGAATGCTCCTTCCAAAACTCTATTAAAATGAATATTCACTATATATATTGTAACAAAAACTTGTCTTTTGTGCCAAATATTCAAATATTTTGAGGCATAGATCACTGTGAAGGAAAGTAATTTTTTGACTCAATGCTCCTCCTATAGAACATAAAGAATGAAAACATTTGGAAGCCTTTGAAACTATCAATGACAACTATTTTTTCATGTTTACATGGAAAAGTGGAAACCAGTTTTCTAGGAATAATTTGAGTGAATGTCAATCATTTGGAAATTGGAATTTATATGCATTATTTTGAAATCATATTTCAAAGAAAAAGTGTTTTTGAAATACTTCATATGTATACGAAGAAAATCAAATGAAATAGGCATTTTTGAAGGAACGGTAACAATGTCAATATCACATATTTTTTGGATTTGAGTGTGACGTGAACTTTAGTGTTCCGTCAGGAAAACATAGTTAACTTGAGCTCAACTATTTTTTTCTTGTAACATCAAAATTTTATGATTTGTTTGGGTAATCGTTTGTTTTATTCATTTCTGGTATTATAATAGAACCTCTTTTTCTGGGAATGGTCTTGTTCAGTGGATGGAGTATGTATCTCCTATTTCTTTAGAATATTATTCAGTGATCGTAGTTGGTGTTTGATATCCTTCAAATAAGTTTATTGGGGAAACAAAATAAATATCGGAAGTTTATGAAAAAATTTAGTGGAAATATGTTATGCCACGTTATACTGTACAAACATTACTGGTTTTCATTTCCATTTATGAATTCGATTTCTTAATGGAGGTTTCTGGATGTTTCTCCATTGTATCAAATCCCTCAATGTCTATTTCGTCTACCAACTACTATCACCGATAAAACATTCTGAATAACCTACTAAATCGTAAGTTACATATTCCAGACACTATGAATGGAATACATTTTTTAATACATTATTTTTTACGTTCCCACAGAGCACGTTGTTGATCCGAAGAATACCAAAGGTTGTCAAACAAGTGGAGAATGGAATATATCAGACATACATACTGAGAATAATGAATCGAGACAAATAGACCCAAGTCGATATGATGAAAGAGATAATGGAAGTAGAACGAAGAAGCCATTTGAAACTAGCACAAATTCATGCATCAAAACTTTAAAAGTCGAAGAATATGAAAAGTATAGTCAATCAGAAATATATTTTGCAGAAGTTGGCGAAAAAGATGATGCTGAGCTAACTCTCGTTATCCATAGAACATCCCGTACAATTGAGGAATTATGTATACCGGAACTTGAACGTGAGGACTACAGAGCAGATGAACAGATGATTTCCTCCAGTAGTAGTGAAACCTATGATAAATATGAATCTGACAAAAAACAAGAACCTTTTGAACCGGGAGATCGACAAGAGGGAAATCCTTCAGAGAAAGAGACAAATGAAGAGAGAGAATATGAACCTTTTGAACAGGAAGATCGACAAGAGGGTGATCTTTCAGAAAAAGAGGCAGTTGAAGAGAGAGAATATGAATCTTTGGAACCGCAAGATCGACAAGAAGTGAATCCTTCAGAAAAAGAGACAGTTGAAGAGAGAGAATATGAACCTTTGGAATCGCAAGATCGACAAGAGGTAAATCCTACAGAAAAAGAGACAGTTGAAGAGAGAGAATACGAGAAATCACTTCTATCAGAACTTGAATTCGAAGATGATGAAGAGAAAAAAGTAATCGTAAGTGAATATGTTGAAAATGAAACGAGGAAAGCACAGAAAATATCCAAAACTGGCACAAAATCAAGCAAAAAATCGAAGAAACAAAAAAGAAAAAATCGATCGAAGAGAAAATTGACCACGACCTCTATTGAAGGGAACATCGAAAGAAAAGACTTCATAGTTGTAGAAAACTTAACTGCACAACAGAAATTTCTCAAAGCAAGCATTGCCTCATGTATGGAATTCCTAACGCCTGATGATCTTCTGGATGATGATTGTCCTGAAACGTTCATTTTCAGTGATGATGAAAAAAACACTAGCGGAGGATCCAGTACAGACACTGGCTCAGAAACGATGGACTTGGACGACGAAAATATTAATCCTCCAATTATGAATCCCGAAATTAAGTCCACGAGTACTGGAACCGAAAACATTACTAAGAGAAGTAAGAGGGCAAAAAAAAACCGCAAAAACAAAACAAAAAAAAAAGGTGCTGAAGCGGACAAATTGTTACACAATAACGAAAACCAAAGTGACAAGGAAAACCATCCACCTCAAACGAACATATCCGAAGGGGCTACGAAGTCATATGTGGTATATCTGAAAAACGATGAACATTTTGCTGATGATGATCTGAAACAATACTGTGATGAAAGAGATAGAGTACACGAAATTTCTTGTTCCAGTACAGAAACATCTTCAGAAACTTTAGAGTTCATGAATAATGATGAGGATGCATTCTCAGACACAATCCTTGAAAGAAGTTTCAGAAGAATTGACAAAAAAAGACCCAAAGATGAAGAAAATTTCGAACAACAAGTTTACAAAACTAGTACAAAACAATGTATAAAAACTATTCCACGTGAAGAATATGACGATGGTGCTAGAGGTGGAGACTGGATTGTTGATTCTGCAAAACATAAAAAAGAAGAACGTATCGAGTTTTTATGGGTCGAGACTCCATGTGGTCAATTTAAATGTTTGGTGGATAATTGTGGTTTCATTTCAGAATCTCAAGATGAACAAGTGCAACACTTGGATGAACACAAAGATATTTTTTACTAGTTGCCATATAGGTAACATATACTAATTTTATTGTTTTTATTGTATATTTAATGATTATTTGAATTGTGATGAGCCTTCAATATATTTTGTAATTTTTATTTCGTCTTTTGATGTATTTTTCGAAATAGCATTTATAGAAAAATTCACTTTCGGTCACAGTGGGCTTAAAGATAAATTCTGAAATTTTGGTCGTATGATAAAAATGGAAGTCCTTATTGCTTTCTTGATTGGAGCACTAATCATAGTGATATATCGATTGACATGAGATCACATATTCGAAATGAACTTTTTGATCATAATATATAGTAACTGAGCTACAGTACATCTGAATAAGAAAGAATTGCAAGAATTTCAGGCACAAAAAATCATTTTGAAATGAATAAAACACCAAATAAAATCAACATCTACAACCTGGAATGTTCTTACTTACTTGAAATCTGATTAGCCAGAGATCTTACAGAGATTTTTTGAAACTCCACTGAAAAAAAAGTACTTTTTAATTCTTTTATTATGTTGTCCAACAACGTATTCAGCCAAGCCAGCGTAGAAATACGCAACATATGGAAACCCATCATCAAGCGAAAAATAGCCAACTCCCGCCAAAACGGTCATTTCCCACGGAACCAGTATGCGGAAAATGGAAAGCGGGGATAAGTGAAAGTACTCGAACGACCTATAAATAGTCATCTCTCGAAGGAATCAGTCCAGTCATCACCCAAAGACGATTGTAGATACTAACAATCGAAAAGTCGTTAACTAACGTGACTTGGAATCTCTCCACTTTTTATTTTTATTTTCTTTTCTTTATTTTTATTTATTCAATTGTTCTATTTTTACTTGTATTTCATGTCACTATTATTTCATTTTCGGATTATTTTGGTTAATATAATTCTGATTTTCAGCTATTCATTTTTAATTCTTCTTTTTTAGTTGTTTCAGGGATTTCAAATCATTTTATATAGTAGACAATGGAAGTCCGAACTAGTGAAATTCATCATGAAATATTGTCAATCACCTTCAAACAAACAGTAAATTTAGTTAAATGACTCTAAACGTCAGAAATGCCAGTCTTATTTATCATCACAAACCATTTTTCAGTCACATCAAAGATTTAGGTTCCGGAATAGGAAATGTATCAAAATTTCAGAATTTTTAGCGGATAAATCATGAAAGTCAAAGCACACATCTCTTTCTACTCTAAAAAGCATACAGAATGGAAAATAAACAATAAAAAATTTGAATTCTGACTCCTCCGCAATATAGACTTGCTACTTAGACATTTCACATCGAAAAAATTTTCAAGTGGTCATTTGATGAAATGTACAAAATGATATTGACATTAGCAATCATTGTTTGTTTGATGCAAGGAAAAACATCATCTTTTGTGAAAAGTTCAAGGCATTTTGTCGAACTACTAGGGGCAATCGAAGTCAAAGAGCAGGATCAACTCCCAGTTTCGACGTGGAAAGCCTCTACACTCTCTACACCAACGTTCCTGTCGAAGAAGCACTTCAAATCATATACAGAGGAAGCTATCCGAAGATGGGGACCTGAAAGATAAAACAAACTTACCGATATAAGTAATGATGGAATTACTAGAATACTGTGTACGAAACTGCTACTTCCAAATGAAGGACCAATTCTTTACGCAAGATGAGGGACTGCCAATGTGATCGCCACTTTCACCGGTTATGGTTAACATATACAGCGTGACTCACGGTCGATGGTAGGTTAGACCTTTCTGGAAAACGCAAAGCATGATTTTTCTGAAAATTTCACCTCACATTTCCTTACCTGTTCTATCGATCTGAAATATTTTCAGCATTGCGGCGTTGCCACTTCCATCAAAAAGTCCTAGCAACACTTTATTTTTTTTAATGGAACACCCCGTATATTAATACTTTTTTGGAATCGTTCTGGTATTTCAATACTTTTTTGTTGATAATGTCCTCTCATCTCTTATCTCTATCTTTTTTCGAAATAAAAAATAAATTGTGCTAAATATGGTCCAAAACATAGCCTTAATTGAAATTAAGTACATCAGTACTCTCAATTCATGAAAAGTTGATATTTTGATGATAGTTTGGACAAACTCGAAATATTCAAATAACACCATTTCCATATCTGAATATTTCGAGATTGTCCAAACTATCATCAAAATATCAACTTTTCATGAATTGAGAGTACTGATGTACTTAATTTCAATTAAGGCTATGTTTTGGACCATATTTAGCACAATTTATTTTTCATCTCGAAAACAGATAGAGATAGGTATAGGACATTATCAACAAAAAAGTATTGAAATACTAGAGCGATTCCAAAAATGTATTAATATACGGGGTGTTCCATTAAAAAAAATATAATTGCTAGGACTTTTTGATGGAAATGGCAACGCGGCAATGCTGAAAATATTTTAGGTAAGGAAATGTGAGAGGTGAAATTTTCAGAAAAATCATGCTTTGCGTTTTCCAGAAACGTCTAACCTACCATCGACCGTGAGTCACGCTATATATGGAGTGGTTAAACTTTGGCCTTTGAAGAAGCCCACAAGAAGCCCCGAGTCTGGTTGAGATCCATAATATGGATCCATGGGAATGCAGAACTAGGCACTTTCCTGAAGCACTTCAACAACGTAAGTCCTTCGATCACTTTCACAATGGAGAAGGAAGTACCCAACGAATTGTCATTCTTAGACGTATTGGTGAAGAGGACCGACACTAAATGGAACATACCGAAAACCCACTCATACGGGACAGTATCTGTACAGGAATCCAACCACCATCAATTGACTGAGAGAGGAATCATCACGACTCTAGTAGACTGTGCTTTCGGGCTGTGTAATACAAAGGAAGGTCTCGAAAAGGAACTATGCATCATCAAAAATGATCTTCATTGGAATGTTTGTTTGAAGGTGGTTGGCAATGTTTCCTGTTGTACTTCATCAGTTCGGACTTCCATTGTCTAATCTAATATATAAAAATAGATATTTGTTGGTTGGTTGGTTGGTTGGTTGGTAAGTGATAAACTTCTATATTGCTCAACCGATCGTGATGAAACTTAACAAGCATAAGTAATTTTGCATAGAGAAGGTTTTTAGGGTATCAATTTTTTTCTAACTTGCCACTAGATGGCGATGTAGAACCATTTTTTGAAAGCACTGTTCTATAACGCTGCGCACGCCTAAGTTCGTTGATTCTGAGTCTGTAAAAACATTGGAACAGCAGCGATACAGCAACATAGTACTAGTATAATATAAATTGATTTGAAATCCATGAAAAAAAAAATTAGAAAGATTAACCGAAAATAACAATTTCATTAAACAGAAAACTGAAATTACCAAGAAATAACATACAAGTAATAACCAAAAAATATAAAATTCAAATATCAATAAAAGCTGAAAATTAAAAAATATTAACAATTGAAGGGGTTATATTTTAGGAGTGATTAATTTTTGGGAAAGAAAGTTTTTGACTTTCTACTACTCAATCTTGGTACAAAACAAGGGATGAGGGAATCTTCTAAAGAAAGGAAGGAAGTAATCAATTTGAAAATGAGTAAATCTATACATGGATGTGTAGATCATGCAAAGAAGTAACTTTCAGACACAAACTGGAAGAAAGTCTTCCTGAAACAGCTACTTTCATATAAACATTGAATTACACGAAAGAAAAAAAATCTTTCGAAACAAATACTTCTATATGAACACTGAATTATACAGAAGATACTTTTCTCTACTCAATTTGTATTTCAAACATTCGTTGTGGAATAAAAATCAGATATCATTCACATGAGTTCTACTTTCAATGCTGCTTATGTCATCGTAAGTTGTTCAAAGGTTGGAATGAAGTCATAATAATCAGTAATTGGCTGTTCCGCAGGTGCTTTCGATGAGACCAGGGAATTTTTTATTTGTGGTTGAGCAGAAACTGTTGTGGGAGTATCTCCGTTGTCATTGGTTTCTGTAAGAAATGAGAAAAAATAATATAAACCGATACTTGGTGCCTACTTGACGATCTACCAATCAAGATGAACAGTGGATACATAGTCCTTGACAGTCAAAACGTGTTAATTGGTTTTCAGCTATCTATCTATGACCCACAATGATAAATAACACTATTGAGTATGAAGTCATTCTTGTTAGTGAAAACATAAACCAGTGAGGGTGACAGTGTTCCATGTAAGTGCAATTTATTACCATTCATTCAAAGTAGAACTCATGTGAATGATATCTGATTTTTATTCCACAACGAATGTTTGAAATACAAACTGAGTAGAGAAAAGTATCTTCTGTATAATTCAGTGTTCATATAGAAGTATTTGTTTCGAAAGAATTTTTTTCTTTTGTGTAATTCAATGTTTATATGAAAGTAGCTGTTTCAGAAGGACTCTCTTTCAGTTTGTGTCTGAAAGTTACTTCTTTGCATGATCTGCACATCCATGTATAGAGTTACTTCCTTCCTTTCTTTGGACGACTCCCTCATCCTTCTTTTTTTGTATCAAGATGGAGTAGTAGAAAGCCAAAAACTTTCTTTCCCAATTACTAACAAAAAATGAAATATTAAAATTAAAAGATTCCAAACCACTTACAGTGGTTTCAGTTCAAGTGGTTTCTTCCCAGAAGCCCGCTGATTAGTGAAGTAACAGCTATTAGATCTCACCACAATCAGCCCCGCCGATATGGTGGACTGATCTATGAGTATTTGGAAATCTTTCACGAACGGCGTGTAGAAGATCGCTTGTAATCATAAAAATGTTTGCTTTGAAAACTCATATCGATAGTTCTGTCCAGGTATTTTCATGTACTTTTTCCAGGAGTGTCGGGCCAATTCTGACAATTATAGCGGTGATGATCTTTGAACGACCTTATTATCGATTACATGAAATGGTGTGCATAGGCTTATGCAGGAGGCACACGAATAATACAGACGAACGAAGTCTACATTTCTTGGGGAATGCAACCTGCTAACATTGCAGGGGTCTTTTTCTACCGCCTCCTGGGGCCGTAAAGGCGAGTCCATAACGAAGAGGAAGCCCTTTACACTACACCCTTCAGGTGATGAACAATGAAATGTATATGTGATATTTTAATTTTTCAATG